AGCACTTTACACCACAATATTTTAGGTCATCTAAAAAATAAGTTACGAGGTTTCAATTTTTGCATTTTACATCACGTAATATCATCAGTTTAACATTTCTCAGTTTCACTGTCTAATTAAACATTAAGTACTATGTAACATAGATTTGATTCATATTTAAGCAGACATTGACTATCAATTTTATAAAAGCATTAAAAAAGTAAAGTACAAAACATTAAAATTAACGGTCAATGACTGTCAAAATGTAGGCTGGCCTATGTCAATTAGACATAAAATTAGAGAAAATGTTAAGTTAGTACAATTCAAAAATCACGTAGTGTAAAATGCAAAAATCAAAACTTCGTGTATCATTTTACAAATGACCACCAAACTAGTGGTGTAAAATGAAGTCAACCCAAGAATATTTCATGGGTGCCGTCGGATTTAAACCATCTATGGCATATTTTTTGAAGGACTAAGCAATATTTTTTAAAAGGTTAAGGACTAAGCAAAGATTGAAAATGCACAAAAGATGAAAGCTTTACCCTTTTTATTCTTTTAGCCACTAGAGACCAACATGTGGCTGTTGAAGAAATTTGCCTTCACCGAGAATATTATTATATAATTTGTATTTTAAATCAATTATGTACTGTTGTATGAGTTCAGTCTACTATTTTTAAATAACGTTTTTTCTTTTTGTAGAAATTTCATTATTGAAACTATTTAATTTCTTAATCTTCAATATAAGATCATTCTTACAAGAAAATAATTCAAAATAGGGTTCGTTTAGTCATTCAAATTTATCATATACATCAATGGTGTAAGTACCAAGTAACATATTCATGAAAAACCGTTCATTTATTTGATGAACATGAATGAACAAACGAACTCCAATTCGAATGCTTTATTGTAAGTATGATCTTATAATAAAGATAAAGAAAAAACGATTCGGTTTATAAATTTATATAGAGAACATTTTAAGACCATATCTTATAATATCCTTAAATTTCATTATATGATCATTTCTTACAAAAACATTTTAATTAGAGTTTGTTTAGTCATTCAAATTTATCATATACATTAACGGTATAGATACCGAGTAACATATTCACGAAGAACCGTTCATTTATTTGATAAATTATAATGACTAAATGAACTTCGTTTCGAATGTCATGTGACATTACAATTCTACTTAAATTATGAAATATGTATTTGTTTTTGTATTAATATCATAAATAATACAATAAGTGAGTTGTGCTTCGATATTCATAGAGTAAAGTATTATTCATACACTCTTGTTATTTCTTTGCCATAAAACTTTTCACTTCATTCGATTTGACAGTGGACCAGGGCTGTTTTACGAATTTTTTTTTGCGCATATTGATATTGGATTGTGACTTCGAATGTAGGAATCTCTTCCAAAAGGAAGAAGCCAATCCAATGTCCAATAAGCATTTTAAATTTAGCTTTGTTGTCAAGTCAAAATAAGGAGAAAGGTTTCCCTCCCTACAGAAATCAAAAGGCTAGTGAAAGGTAAAGGCTACTGAAGAACGTTCATTTATTTGATAAACTTGAATGAATAAACGACATCCAATTCGAATGAATTTTTTTTTTGTAAGAATGATCTTATAATAAAGATTAAGAAATTGATGGTTTCGTTTATGAAATTTATACGGGGAACAAAAATGGATCCATTCAGGGACCTGGTGGGTCCCGACACCCTCTGGAAGTCCGAAGAAGCGGTTGTGAGGACCTCCGAGTACCACTCGACAGTCTGGGCATGTGGTAGAGGAGAGGTATGCAACGACAATTACAGGTTGTGTAGACTGCAAATAGATAATGAAGAATTAGAAGTTTGTTTTATTTTTAATTGACTTAGCCAAATGGCGTAGTTTTGAGCCAAGACAACTAAAAGAACATATTCTTTCTTTAAAAAAGCCACGTGACCCTCTCTTTTTTGTTGTGATTGGCTCATATTTTGAGCTGGCAACAATGAAGTGACCTGTGTTTGCTTTTGGTGTAAATATCACATGGTGTGGGCTACATGAAAGTTGCAGACAAGTGCTGCAAAGTAGAAGCAAGCAAAAGTGGACAACAAGCCAAATAACTTTCGGCTAATAAACTAAACAAAGAAAAGTTTGGTGGACATCATCATGAGTAAAGACACAATGATGATGCTTGTAAGAAAATAGAAAAATTCAGCTGTTTTTGCTTTAATGATTATGAAGAAATGTGATGATGGATTGGTCTTTATTTAATGCAAGGAAATGCTTGCATTATGTGTGCTTACCGAGGAAGAAGGCTTGCATCAGGGAAGCATCCAAGGAGATGGTGAGAGCATTTGGCTCTACCATGGGAAAGGTTGAACATGGGTTGAGAGAAAACCAAGAGAGCTAAAGTGAAAAGTATTCTAGTGAAAGAACTCTTGGGGTAGAGTGAGGCTCTTGGGAAAATTCTATAAGTGGGTGTGCAAGGGATTTGGGATTGGGTTATGTCGATTTAACTCATGTGTATCTTGTACTGTTATTCTCATAGTGAAGAGCAATATCTCTCCGGGGACGTAGGCAAGATTTTTGCCGAACCTCTTAAATTTCTTGGTGTCTTTACTTCTTGTATTTTATTATGTTCAACTGAGTGTGATTTGGTGAGGTTGTAATCTGAATCTCGTTTCCGCACTAACGAACGGGCCAAGGCACAACAATTGGTATCAGAGCATCGTTGGGCGCTTTTGTTCGTTGGAGGTCCAGATTTGTTGTTCACCATGGAATTTTCAGTTGAGCAGCTTAATGGGAGAGGCGGTTTTACTACTCTTGGTAAAAGAGACTAATGGAAGCCTGAAGAAATGGAAATCGTGTTCAGGGATGCTTAGATCAACTGCGAAAGTTGATGTTGAGGAAGAAGACAAAGGCCTCTTTCTTCTTAGCTCACTTTCAAATTCGTACGAGAACCTTGTGAAACTTTACTGCATGGAAATATATACTGTAAGTTTGGAGCAGGTGCAAGCTTCTTTGGTGTGGAATGATACACAAAGGAAACCATGGATGATGGTGGGCACGAGACTGCTTAAGCTATTCAAGGTTGGAATCGTGGAAGAAAATTGAAAAGAGGATCTGAAAGAGACAACAGATTCAAATCCGGTTCCGGAGGCAAGGGTCCACAGTGCTACGGTGCAAGGCCGGGTGGTAGCAAGTTTGTGGCATAAGGCTTCGAGTATGCCCTCTAGGTACTCGAAGCAACACTTCTCCTGACGATGTTTAGTCTCAAGTGTTGCAGGGGTTTTGCAGCAGGTGGAGCTATGAGATTCATAGGTGATGAGATGGTCCTAAGGTAGGAGGAAGTGTGGGAATTTTGTCTGGCTTAATGGGTTGTTGCTAGAAACGGGCGCGCTGGTGAGTTTCCAGGTTGCAGACAATGAAGAAGAGGAAAACATGTTGGAGGAGACGAGGGTGTGTCGAGATCATGACTAAAGCTAAATGGTGATTTTTAGCTTGCAGCAGCTGCACATGCATTGGCAGTGACTGAATCAGAACAGGACCAATGAGGTTGATTCAGGGTGTGTATGCTGGTACGTAAGGCCAATGAGCTTTGGTGATGGGTGCAAGGATTTTGCATGGTGTATTCGCCAAGGTGGAGATTGTTGTGATTGGCTCATATTTTAAGCTGGCAACAATGAAGTGACCTGTGTTTGCTTTCGGTGGAAATATCACATGGTGTGGGCTGCATGAAAGTTACAGACAAATGCTGCAAAGTAAAAGCAAAAGTCGACAACAAGCCAAATGCTTTTCGGCTAGTAAACTAAACAAAGAAAAGTTTGGTGAACATCATCATGAGTAAAGACACAATGATGATGCTTGTAAGAAAATAGAAAAAGGTGGTTGCTTTTGCTTTAATGATTATGAAGAAATGTGATGATTGATTTGAGATTTGGGTTAAATCGACATAGAATTTTCCCAAGAACCTCAGTGCATTAGGAAAATAGGGTGGATAAATGGGGGTGCATCAGTGCATGGTTAAATAAACATGGATGATAATAAGCTTCTTACTTTGGGATAAATTTCTAATGTTTCTCCCAATTAAAGTTTGACATGTAGAATAGTTTTTTTATGTAACTGGAACACGTCAAAAGACTTTATAATTCTACTCAAATTATAACATATGTATTTGTTTTTTTGTATTACTATATTCTAGTCATACGATATATTAAGAGTATCATTTACCATTATTATTATAAATGATACAACACATGAGTTATGTTACAATATTTATAAAAGTACTATTTTCTTTTGTTAAACAATAAAATGTCCCTTGACATGTGTGCACCATTTTTGTGTGCATTTTTTTATGAGATTTTTTGCACATATTAGATGGATATTTAAATTGAATTTTATAATTCATATGACATAGTTGTTGATGATTAAATTATTATTTAAATATTAATCAACGTAAATACAACCCATTACACAATTCATAAATTTATCTAAAAATTTAATCTACCGTATTAAATTGTGATTTCGAAGAACGTAGGATTCTCTTTCCAAATGAAGAAGCCAATCCAGTGTCCAATAAGCACTTTAACTTTAGCTTTGTTTTGAAGTCAACAAATCCTTTTTTTATTCCGTTGTTTTAAAGAGAAAGGTTTCTCTCTGGTGGCCACAGAAATCAAAAGCGAGTGAAAGGTAAAGGCTTCTCTGCCAAGCCTTCATCGCCAGCAACAGCAATTGCAGCCAGATCCAGGTATGTCTCTTCTCTTGCTCTCTCTCTACAATCTTTCTGTCCAAAGTTCCCTGAGAAAAAGGGTTTTGGTTTGCATTCTTGGATTAGATTTGTAGATATTCCAATGCATTTCAGTTTTCTCTGATTTCATAGCAAAATCTGGTTCTTGGTACTCTAAATTTGCTTTCTTTGCTTCAAGACTGTATTTTTATAGGTTTTTGTATAAACCCATCTGAAATTTACTTAGAAATTGGATGTATTTTGTATGTTAAATACTTTTGGAATCCTTTTGGTGTTGCTATTTTTGTGTTTGGTGTCAGAAGCTTAGGTTCCTTTTGCCAGAAACTTGCAGTACTCGATTGTTATCGCAGGGTTCTAATTGGCTCTGGGATACATCTTACTATCATTCTGAATTTACTTTTCTATGGGAACTAAGAAAGTATTAGTTATCCTTGAGTTGAATGTGCTAAGTTGGTGAGTTTTAGCGCAACGGAAAACTCATTTATTGGCTGAGTTAGAGATCGTTTGGAAGTGCTTTTAAAATGAGTGAAAATGCTTTTAGAGAAAATGTTTTTTTTGGTTCCAGAAGCACTAAAAAGTTCTTCCAGGAAACACTTAAGTGCTTTTCCTAGATTTACTTGCATTTTTACTAAGGATTGATTTCAAAAACATTTTCATCAAAAGCGCTTTCAGCCATTTTAAAAACACTTCCAAACGAATTTGCTTGTTTTGATTGTTTTGAAGCCAAGCATCTACTAGACAAATTTGCTTGACTGTATTTAGGAGCATTGAAGTTTGCCATCTCAGTTCGTGATGATGAGAAGTTTGTGATTGATATACTTGTTGTTTCTAATTTTCAATAAAGTTTTAATTCTTGGATTCACAAGGGCACTACGTTGATTCTGCATGTTGTAGCATCAGCAAATTCTTATACGTTAATTGAATATTGCCTGCTGAAACACATTTGAATGTATCTGATAATTCTCTTCATTTTCTAGACCATGTTTAAGGTCCCAGATTATCAAGTTGCTGGCCACCAAGCCGGTGGTGGAAAGCTTGGCCCTCTTGTGGATGATTCAGGGCACTTTTACAAGCCTCTTCAAAGTGACGAGCGTGGATCCCAAGAGTTAGCATTCTATACAGCATTCTCTACTGACACTAGGATTCCAGACCACATCCGCAAGTTCTTCCCTGTATTTCATGGCACTAAGCTTTTAGAGGCGTCTGATGGTTCTGGCCTGTCTCCTCACCTGGCCTTGGAAGATATTGTCTCAAGCCGAATCAATCCATGTATATTGGACGCTAAAATTGGTGCCAGAACATGGTACCCCACAAGCTGCTGAAGATTATCTCCAAAGGTGTCTTAAGAAAGATAGAGAAACCGCGAGCCTGGAACTGGGGTTCAGGATATCTGGACTCCAAGTGCATGGAAACAAAGAAACTGGAGTTTGGAAGCCAGACAGGACGGTTATTCAGAGGGGTAGCGTTGATGAGACTAAGTTAACTCTTAGGAAATTTGTATCTTCTAACCCATCTACCGATTCAGATATATCAAACCAGATTGTTGTTTTTGCATCGACTGTCTATGGTGGTCATAATGGGATATTGGCACAGTTGCTGGTACTGAAGTCGTGGTTTGAGGAGCAGACCATTTACCATTTCTACTCTTGTTCAGTTATGATGGTTTACGACAAGGAATCGTTGCAGCAAGGGAAGAAACAAGGTGCTCAAATTAAACTTGTTGATTTTGCTCATGTGATCGACGGGAAAGGTGTAATCGACCATAACTTCTTGGGCGGGCTCTGCTCCTTGATAAGGATGATCTCAGAAATTGTCACCGATCCTAGTACTTGACCCGACGCATGTTATGCCCACAACTCTGAAAAAGAAGAAGCATTTTATGCTAATAACAGCTAGGAGAAATGCAGTATCCTAAGGGGAACTCTCCTTTTGTCATTCCTCCTGTGGGGATTTTGGATTCTAAATCCATGAATATTCAGTTTTCTTGCTACTGAAGTAATTGATACTGCTCATGATTTCAATTGTTGACGATGTTTATTGAATTTTTTTGATTTAATTGTCTTCCTAGAGTAGAGGTCGCACTTGGTGCGATGGCAAGTGCCTTCGTCCATGAGCGGTAGGTCTCGGGTTCGAGACTTGGAAGCAGCCTCTTCATAAATGGGGGTAAGGCTAGCCGACATTCATCTTTCCCAGACCTTGTGCATTGGGTACGACCAATTGTCTTCCTAGAGTAAGTACCAATATCCCATACAAATATCTTTGAACTTTAATATCATAACAGGCATGGTCTACAAGAGGAGAGATTTTTTGCTATCCCTGGTTGTATACTCCCTTGCGTATCGTGGCCGGAGATTAGGTGCAACGGGATACACAACCGGTTACTAGACAGATTCCCCCTTTAGGATGGGAAATTCTGGAGTATAATCGGTTGTAAATCTTCTTATTTGTATATCTCTCATCACATTGCACATTTCACAAAACGAGATGGATATACAACCGATTATATGTTAGAAATGCAAGGCAAGGACAAATTATAGCATGTAACTGGGTGTATATCACACGACCCACGTCTAGCGTGTGCCACCCGATGAGTCATTGGTCGGACAGCCGCTTGTTTCTGGCGTTTGGACCGAAGAACTCCTCCAAATATTCACACAAAAATTGCTCTATATATCATTGTTGGGGAGCCCATCAAATGGAAAAAGAGCTGCTAATAATTCACAGCATATATTTTCTTCAAAATTTTCTCAATGTCGCTGTCTAAAGCACCAGTGCAGCCATTTCCCTTTCCTGTAATAACAACGAAGACGGCACATCAAACAAACATAGGATTATGTCTCAAATTTCTGTCCGAGTAGGGTCCATGATGGAATGCTCTCTGCCGACCTAGGAGCTAAAAAGCAAATATCTCAGAGAAAAGCAAAAATATAATTGTCCTTTAAGCAAAAACACTTCTTACAACATAATCCATTTCAAATGCAGCAGTGAACTCTAAGCTTGCAAAATTTGTTTTACTTCAAATATCTCAGACCCGTTTAATTTGATATCACTGTAATATAAAAGTGAGATTGGTAGTAGTGATGGTGATGTAAAGCTAAATCAAACTAAACGAGTTTTAATGGATATCCATTAACAACTCAATGAGTTGATTTGCCACCTTAACAATAATCTCCAAGACACTTTCCCTACATCCCCGCCCGCAAAGCAAGCAATTTTCGTCAATGGCTTCCCGTGCAAGAATCCAAACAACATCACTGCCCCCGACTTCAAAATCTCCAAGCTAACCCGAAAGCACTTGAAGTGCTTCCTACTACTATGTCCTTCTTGCAACAAGCACTTCAAGTGTTTTTTCACGATTTCTTGCATTTTTACCAAGAATTGGTTTCAAAAATATATTTATAAAAAAACTCTTTCTGTCCTTTTGAAACACCTTCCAAACCAACCCTAAATCGTACGTCTAAATGAACTTTGACCTATGTTTTTTCTTAGCTTTGGGTGCTAATTTTGCACCTTTCTCATTCCACGGCATGTCGTTTACTTAAGTCCACAGCACATAGCATTTTGGGGCCCAATTCTCTACTCCGAGAAACCAAACAGTCATTTGTTAGCTATTTCGCGCCAAACCTGTCGAGCTTTCCGAGACCGATCGAAGACGAAGACGAAGCGCAATGGTGGAGTTGTGCTTTGTTCTGGACCTGCGAAGCTTACCGCCTCCATTTCTCAGAGACTTGAAGCAGGTAAGAAGCAATTCAGTTCAATTAACACTGTTTAATTTCTCTATAAATTGCAACAATTCGTACAAATTATCCATACAAATTGCTGTTTCGAAATCGATCGACTCACGAATCGCATGCGTTTTCCCGGTCAATTTTGCTAGTCGCTGTTGCAGCTTGCGAATTTGTACGCCATTTCATCGCCGGCGCCGTGGGGCAGATCGGAGTCGCTCAGAGATCGGATTGGCCTGTGCTACGTTTTTCAAAATCCGATTTCCTTGTCCGATGAGGTATGTGAATTCGTAATGCAGGCTACCTGTTTGTTTTATTGTCCATGAGAGGCCGAGAGGCTGAGAGCGATTGAATATATCGTTTTTGCAGATGAAGATCATATATACACCGAGTCCGAGCGGAAACTTCAATCTCCGCGACTTCCACCATGCGGTTAACAACTTGCCTGCACATGGATTTTGGCCTCAGATCGATGATTTGGGTAATCTATGGGATCCATTGTTTTCTTCTTCATGCTCATTTTGTTAAGTTCTGTTTAATTTATTGCAGGTGTGAAACTTTCCAGTGTCCTAAATGATCAAGTTTTGTACCACTGGGGAGGTAAAGATATCATGAGAAAAGTGATTGTCATAACCTCCTGTTTGCCTCGAGATGTCGACTTTGTCATGCTAAAAACTCTCACGGTTAGCCTTTCATTGCTTACTTATCTTCAGTGTTTTCTTTTTTCGCCATGCTTACTTTTGCAGCTTGCTTCTCATGGCACGGTTTTCTTTTGGTGTTGGCTTCTTTTTCCACAGGCGGCGGCCGAAAAGTGTGTTTCTGTCGATTTTGTACTGTTTGAGCAAAGATCATCCCATCTGAGCAATACAAAAGAGAATTTCAACAATTTTCAAACATGTATCTCTGATCTTGATAATTGCTCATTTCAAGCATATCTCCCAGGTTTTCCACTCCTATCATTCATCTCTGTACGTAGGATACTAGGACAGCCAACTTTGATTAATGAAAAAAAATCTTTCATGTGCGTGAGAGCATAAACGGATGGCCATATACTTCCTTCAAGTGCTCTTTCCATTTCACTAATTCTCTCTATGTATGTTAATAGTTGTCATTACAGTCTAAGAGACTGGAATCATTGTAGCCGTTCAAGGCCACAAGCTGGGGTTAGTTTGTTCTTACTATTAACAAAACTTGCAGATGTCAAAGTATTGCATGGCCTGGTAAACCGATGGTTACAGGATTTAAAGGATGACGTTGAAGAACCACTGCAAGCTCGTTTTAACTTCAAGAACAACCTTGTGGGCTCTGTGAAACAGATATCCTGCAACTTGTATATATCTGTCAATCCAATTATCGATGGTTTCTATCCCTGTCAGGTACTATATGTAATACTCCTTTGTCAAACTTTATAGTTCCTCTACGTGTGAACCATCCATGTTGGCTGAAAAACCTTCATGGGTGGTGGATTTTTGTGGTCATATTTGCCATCATAACTTATGTACTGACTACTGAGCATCATTTAAAATCTTATGTTATGAACTTATGATTTGTGGTGTTAAAGTGAAAACTGCTTAGAGTTGTTACAGCATCATCATCTGGCCTGAGACACTGATATTTATCACAAGTAGAGTAATACATGGCTTTCATTTTCTTGAGATCCAAAAGCTAACTGAAATAGCTGTCATGATGGATACAGAGGAATTTGGTTCATATTTTTAATTTCTGTCCTGGATTATGCTAGGTTGATTATGTGTGGGTTATCATTGCTTCAAGAAGATTGTATTAGTAGTCGTAAAATCGTGAGCATAGTACAATGATATCTGCACTGTATGGTTTGTTCTGTTATTCCAAGCAACTGCTATCACTTAATTAGAGAGCTGCTTAGTTAAATCTGAGTAAACTTAATTTACAGTTGCTCTATCCTCCCTGCATAGAAGCAATATGGAAGACATCATGTTTTCTTGTTACATGATATACTCCTTCGTTCCTCCATTTTCATTTATTTCAACTTCACAATTTAAGTCTACAATTAAGATCTTGATTATAGGTTTACTGCTTATAGACATGCAGATGTCATGGCATTTCGCTGGAAGATGCTGTTAGAAATAGAAGCGAGGAACTTTCTTGTCCGGTCACAGGCTGTAATCTTGGAAGATGTGATGTGATTGAAAATTCTGTGAAAGTTGGAGTAAAAACAATCCTTTTACTGCCCTCATTCCCAAGCTCTATGAAGCTCAAGCGTGCTTCTTTGCCAATTGACTTCAATGTCATTGAGAGGACTAACATGGGGTCTCTAAGCGAAGGTAAATGTTAAGCTTGAAGCTGACATTTATTAGTTCCTTCTGAGCTTACTAGAAAGTCACTAAAGAATTGATCGGTCCTTTCAGTTTTTGGTCTCAGCATTGATTAACTACCCCTTTCTTGGGCTTTTTATCACAGGTGTTATAATGGGAGCTTCCTATGTTGTGATTCCATCAACTTTTCATGAGATAGAAACTAGTCCGGATGAAATTGATCAGTCAGAATTGAATACTCAACGTGCGTTGAAGACCTCCTTTGATTTTTTTTGGTTTGTCACTTCGCTTGTATACCAGTAAGAGTTGCTGATACGTTAATCCAGGACAACCTAGTTCAGAGACTTTGTGGATGTCTAATACTAGGACTTGCAGGGATTCTCTGAATGCTTCAGTAACTCTTATCTATGTTCACATTTTGTTCTTTTCTCCTAACCAGGCTACAAATTTGCAGTTTTCCGTGGGATTTGCAGTGCACTACATTCAATGGACCAGTGTCTGTTATGCTCTTCAAATTGTAATGTAGAAAGTATGACGGAGGGCACATTGCACTGCTATTATATTCTTCAACCTTCGGGCAACGGGCCGATGCTTCTCAGAGTGAATATTTCTCTTTAAGTTCCTGAAATACTAAAATTCTTTACACAACAATTATCTTTGTGCTGTGTATATCATTGTTTCTGTGCTTCCAGCTTGGTCCAGTTTTAGTTCCACATAGCATGGATTATATGCATTGGCTAATTATTTTGCCTTTATTTTCTCTACTCTGCTATATCTTGTATCTCTGTTAACCATTATTATATTATTTGCAGCGCATTGCCGGATCAGAGGAAGTTTTGCACATTCCCAATCTCAACCAATTAACAACTAGTTCTTCAGTACGTAAGGAGATTGAGAACTCAATTAACGAATCTTTGTCAAAGGTATGAACCATGTTTCTGCTTGCATTCTTCTGGAAAATACTGGGAAAATCCTTTTCTTTTAATCCTTCTTATGAGTAAGCGACTTGAATCAATTTCTTTAAATATCTAGTTTGACAAGGTTGTTGAGTTTCACAATTCGTCTAGACCACAAAGTGCTGCATGGTGTAAGCTACAATTTGAACCAAATCTTCCCAGGAATTATTTGTTGTTTTCAATATCTTAAATATGTTGTTAGTGCAGAGTGTTGGTGAAGAGATCAATATATTTTACCATATTCATGAGTTAGATTAGTGACTTTTATCACAGAACGTCTATAAAATTGAGTTATGTGCATGCATTTCAATGCTTAGATTGTTGCATGATGCAGTGATTCCGCCAAATATTTGTGCAGATTGATGTTAGAGATTATAATCCCATGCTGCACGAGAGGGGCTTCCATCAGAATTTAAACTTGCTTGTAAAGGAGAGCTTACAGTTGGGGTAATTGTTCTCTTCATCCACCTTGAGCCTGCATAACATATAGAAATAATCGTACAGATATACAGGCACCAATTGGCTCTTGTTACTCTCAGCACACCCGTTTCATGTTTTATAAATGGTAGAGGAAGCGAATGTTGAAAACATGGATTTTGTTACTCAGCATGAATGTTTCGGTTTTTTTTTTTCTTTTGTCATCATTGAAGATATCTAGTCACGGTCTACTTTTTCATGATCCAACTCAAGGTTTTTGTGTACAAGGATGGCCTCATTTTCATCGATATTGTTATTTAGGCACGTGTCTAGGACTGATTTTCAATTCACTAGTGTTATTCAGGGTGTTTAGCAACTATATACGAGAACTAATGGTGAAAGTTCCATCTGTTAATTGCTTTTTGACGTGAATATTTCAGATCAATAGCCCCTGGATTTGAAGAGCAAACCTATGAGCCAAACGCAACCGAACCAAAACTTCCAGAAGTGGCTGCACAGTCAAATTCAACAATAGATCTTCCAATCATCAGAAACGAAGCCTCACACTGTGATCCGACAGCCATAGAAGACAAAGCATCTGCTTGCATTACAGAAGAGTGGGAGAAGCTGATCGTCAATGATGTCTCCGAGCTACATTCTCCAGTTTGCACTTCCAAACCGAAGCTAGATCAATCAGTCCTATCGCCACCAGATGGTAACCGGCAACTTGACGCGAAAACATCAAGAATTCTAGAGAGACTCGAGGTGCCGAGACAGTTCAAAAGAGAATCAGTGTCTCCGATCCTCACAAACAATGCCGGCGGCACAAAGAATCCGATTGTTGAGGTAAAGAGGCCTTTCATCCCATCCCAGCCTATTTCTGCTCCAAACCAACCCATAACTGGTAGCCAACTAATGAAACCAAATTTCCAGAGGCTAAAAAGGAAGCATAAATAAAACATGACCGCCGCCAAACTAGCCGTTTAAACTTGTGAGTCGTATAAGTACCAGAAGCTTGTGAAATTACAAGCTTGCCATTACACTGGGAAGTTCCCTTGGGAAATTATCTTCTTGACCAAACACAACCTTATATGATTATCATATATGACTTAAAAATACATCCACATTCTCTTCTATGTATAAGTTAAGGAAAAAGAAAATAACTCGAATACAAACTTTATGCTACAATATGGGAGAATTTAAGATGCGACTGCTGCACACAACAATACCTTAACAATATGCGACTTTACATGTGAGTCTCAAATCCTAATGAGTGTGTTGCTGCGTCAGCCGTACCCAAGAATTTCTCCTAAAACCTGAGAGATTCTATCATTACAAAATATTATCTTCTCTTATTCTCTCTCATCTCACATGATAATAAGAGATTACAACGATTGCATCATTGTATAACATGGTTTGCACATCTCTTCAATCCAACCTGTAATTAACTTGTATAATTATAATTATATATATAATGTGTGGGACAGACTTGTGTTATCAGAAGTTTTCTTTGTGGAACTCAAATCGGGTGGAGGTTTTGTGAGAGAAGTCGAGGGACAGCTGGCGTAGCTCTTCGGTAAGCGCCGGTGGCCCGCAGTAGAACACCCCTGCACGACACAAAAACAACCCCTTCTGGTTAAATAATTGAACATGATTAAGACATTGATATTGTGTTGATGGTCATCCACGTTCTATCATCCTCAACAACAAAAGCCCCACCCCCTAGAATATTATCCAACCAATGACTTTCTTTAACGACGACATAAATGCGATAGTAAAAGGAACTAGGAAAGCTAATATGTGTAACACGTTAAAACAAAGAAGAGAATTGTTATTCATACTTTTAAAAAAGTTATGCTTTACGAGAAACCTTATCCTATAAAAAGATGTGGTTACTAATAGTTTGTAAATATGATATGTTATTTTTTGAGGAATATTTGGTGTATTAGATCATTCCTAAATCCCATCCGAAGTCTTATGTCAAATTTTGTACTTCTCTAACTGAATTGTCAAATGCTATTTTCTTATTAATATAGAACTTTAAATGATTGTTATATTTTAAAAAATTGTTGAAACAAAATTTGTAAATGTTAGTGGAATAAAGAACCCACCATTAAAATTAGTTAAAAATAAATTTGATGTTGATGTCAAATTTGACTTCTAATCAAGGCTTGAAATCAAATTAACAAATAACACTTTGATTGGAAGGATTTTTTTATATCAAATACGCACAGTGACATCTCCACCTAGGATTTGACATCTCATTTGAAGATGCTCTTAGTAGAGCAGAACTTCCACGTGACTAAATGTCATAGTGACAACATTTTAAGTCAATTATGCATTATTATGTGAGAAAGTATAAAACTTATTGATTTGGAATACTGTTACTATGACACTGCAATTATAAATTATATTATGAAAACAATTTTCATAACACGAGTACTTTAAATTCCTCCCATATTAGGGAAATTAAAATTTTTATTTTTTTTTCCTTCAAAATTTGTTGTGTGATGAAGTTTTGTGGCAGAGGGAAGGGAACTCACCAACTCTAGCATCGGTGTGATCGAGTGCAATCCGCTTGTAGACCTCACGCCAGTTTGGCTTGGCAAAGTGCGATTTGACACGTGTGCCGGAGACAATGTCGACACCATTCTTTGCATGACTCAAAGACTGAAGCATGGCAATGAGGGCAGAACGTGCATCACCTTCTTCATACACACTAGTGCAATAATTGTGAAATTCAATGACCCTGTTGTGGTCCAATTCCGCCACCTCATTCATCGCTCCTTTGAACCAATCAAAGGAGCCCTGTTCCCGTGTCACCCAATAAAAATACGCCCGCTTGGTCTTAAAGTTATGGTGTCCCACCGAGGTCGACCCAGCATGTGTTTTTGATGATTTGTGTGGTAACTTGGTGCCGCCACCACCACCACCACCATTTTCTAAAGCATTGTCCTCCTCCTCTTCCTCCATGGCCTTGATATTGTTCACTATGTCCTTCAAAATGCTAATCATTGGGGTTGCCCCAATCCCTAGCCCTACCAACAACACCACTTCATAGGTCTTGTATTCTTGAGCTGGTGCTCCATAGGGTCCATCGATCAACACTCTTGGAAATCTGTTTTCAAAAATAAATAAATAAATCATCACACTAATCACTTCCCACTAACATCAAGAAAGAAAAAGAAAAAACTAATAATAAGCCCATTATTAGAACTTTACTTAAAAATGTGAAGTCGCGGTATTCTAAAGTTAATCGCATATTGTAATATGAGAAGAGAAAACTAAGGGAATTCTCTTAAAGTGAGATTTTTTATGGACTCTCCGCCGACTCTTGTTTTTTGCACAATGTGGTGATACAATTCCAGTGCCAACACTATAAAACATTGTGCAAAAAACATCAGTCGCTAAAGAGTTTATAGAGAGTCCCACTTTTGAGAGAGACTCCTTAGCATTTCCCATATGAGAAAGTTAAAACGAACAAGAGAAATGCTAAGGAGACTTTTTCAAAAGTGGAACTCTATATGGACTCTCTGCTACCTCATATTTTTTGCACAATGTTTTAAAATGTTAACACAGAAATTAACATTAAACTGTTAGGTAACAGAGAGCCGATAAAGAGTTCAACTTTGAAAAAATATTCTTAGCATTTTTCAACGACAATAGTGCTAATTGGCTTAAGATACAGGCCAACCAGCACCCATAAAGTAGACAAATTTTCTTTCCCTCATTAGTCGTTGTCAGAAAAGACACAAAGCAACTTTATCATGAGCAAAGGAAATAACAAAGAAGGAAAAACTAAGGCCACCTAGTTTTTACTTTAGAGAAATGATGTGTTATTCACACACTTATTTTTATTTCTCACATATATATTATTAATTTTTTTTATTTGATATTCTTCAATTTATTTGATTAGACGTCCAAAAATTAATACGGTATATGGAAAGTAAAAAAAATATGTGAACAGCACATCAGGAAAAATGATAGACCACATCCATGTTTAGGCGTTTATCTTATTTTCTTTAAGCACAACCAATCAAGATTAAGTACCTTTTCTTCTTTTGTCCTACAATTTGTCCTACAAGTATATGCAATTGGGAATATTTTGTCTACTAATGACCAAATTGATAGCCAGTGTATATCCCCATAGTGTCCAATTATCTAATCATTTAAGTTGCCTACGTAAATTAATTATGTGATGAGAGAGATAGATACAATAAAATATAGGTGGAGAATAGATTAAAAAAAATTCTCTAGTAGCTAGGCACTTTTACTTTACCCTCATTATCCTAGATTTAAACACTAGATTTTTTTTTGCTTTCTTTTTTCCTATTGTTCTAAAAATCTCCACCTAACGCCTCCTAGGGCTGCGCCTAGGGGTTAGGCAGTTGACGACCACCCTGATTAATCTTTAAGCGTTTGAAAATTAAAATTAAAAGAATCGCCTAAGCTGCTTAAGTCGCCTAGACGCTAGGCCCGTGCTTGCAGCCCGATTAGCGAAATTGACAACCTTGTTTTTACCCATTAAGAGATGTTACTAAACTCATGATTTAGTGGAGCATTACCAGCTAATTAATCCTTAAGTTATTGTTACTCACATCAAGTTTTCAGCTCCTTGCATGTGGTCAGCTGTAAGGAGTCCACTTTTCCCACTAGGAGGTGGTTGGCATACCTAAACAAATCAGCACAACAAGATTAACATCCCATGAGATTAATAGTTAGAATGTGGGTCTCAATTATATCCATATACAATTATGTTATACATGTCAATATTTGTTCTTTAAGGAAAATCTAGCTACACTTGCAGTGTATGTAATTAAGCAATTAAGTTTGTGATCGCAGACGCACCTTTGAGAACACCGTTTTAAGTTGTCGGGTCCAATCTCCGACGATCCGGATATGAACACTGAGGTGGTCATCTCCAGGGGCCGAGGTGATGGAAAACGGGTGCCTTTTGTACATTAACAACACAAGAAAATAGACAAGTGCGTGAGAAAAAGACATGTAAGGATCATAGGATCATAATGTTATATTGTTAGACTACTAATCAAAATCGTAAACCTAATTCCACTTAGTAGCTATATGATTAAAAATGTGGCACAATCATGCATGACAATTTAATTGATTCATATGTTAAAACAATGATTAAGGTTAATTACCATTCAAATGGCGACACAGCAGCACAATTAACAAACATGTATTGCCCACTATGGTATCTGAAGCCTTGAGGCTTGGACAAATGAAGTGCCAAGACATTACCAGGGTAGAGAGCCACCTTCACCATAATTAAACAAATAATAATCAGATCTATAAATGTCATTTTTGTTAATTTTTTATGTTAATCATTTGGTGGTATTTTCTCCAATATATATAAAGTTGCTTACCTTTAGAATCTGAACAGGCTTGATGCTGGATCTGAGTGCCCTAACTAATCTTTCACCAGCATAGAGTGTGAGTGGAACAGCTAGGTACATCCATGTCTGTCAATGCCATGACCATGAAATAAGTGTTACAACAAAAAAATCATACATTAATCATATAGAAATTCTTTATGCAAAACGTCAATTATTACAAAATGAACATCGTCGGACAAATTGATACAACAGTAAAAAGGTGAAGTATGGAGAGAAACTTGTCTACAATGATGTCACTATAACGGTATTCCAAACTAATCATGTTTAACGTTCTCACATGACAGTTCATGATTAGCTTGAGATACTATCACAGGAACATCAACGTTGCAGGGTTGTTTTTATTGTAAACATGAGGTAGTTAAGAAGGTTTCTTACTGTTTTCTGGTACCATTTCTTGGTCAGATACAGGTGAACTCCATGGATAATCAGCAGGACATAGACTATGACGAAAAGGTGGTGGGAATACCAAAAGGCATTGAACCCAGCGAGCTTATTCAGAGGCTTAGGCAGGTTAACTTTACCTCTTCTGAAACAAGGAGCAGCCAATGTGAATGCAACCGCCATCAAA